TGCACCAACACACACACACACAGTCTAAACAAACGTTCCTGGAGTATTTCAGTGTGTTTTGCTGGATAAAGCCCTGTACTGACCCCTTCTAGCGAGTGTGTTGAGCTCGGAGGAGTTTGAGAGTCCACTGACCACCCTCACACTGACGGATCGAGAGCGCAGAGAGATGAGCTGATGGAGCAACAGCTGACCCTGCACAACACACACAGACACACACACACACACACACACACACACGCTGCAGTTAACTCCTCATTGGTTCATAATAGCGTGATGTCCAGTGTTCACGTTACTCCCTCATCACTCATGTTCTGCTGTTGATACTGAAGCGCTCAGATCTGTTCGTCACCTGTCTGGCCTGAGCAAGGTGTGTTTGGTCTGATGAATTGAGAGTCCATCTCGGAGACACGATCTCCACAGAGCGGCGGGCCTGGTCCAGCAGATCCCCCAGAGCAGATCTCAGAGAAACGCTGTCTTCATAGGGCAGAGAGACGTCTTCAGGGATATTCTCCAGCAGCAGAACTCTGCGAGAGCAGGAGAACACAGCGGTCATCAGCTCAGGATGCTGCAGTCTGATCACGACACTTCAATAAGAGATGTACCGAGTCTCCTCATATGCAGATCTGCATGACATCACTGGCCAGGTGTTTGGTGCTGTCTCCTGCTCAGGGTGTTGTGCTTGTGTGGGATAGTATTTGCTTACTCTGTCATGTATCGATCTCATCGTTTCGGCTGGCTACCCAGATACGTTCAGTTTAGTTTGCACCAATTCTGGGTTTAAAGTACCATGAAGGCAGCGTGGGCTTAATCATTCCTATTTAGCAACACTGCTCCAGGCCTGGTTCTGTTCTAGACTATGTTCTGACTGTGTTGAGTTTATGTTGTGGTTATAGGGTGAGCTGAAGTTATGTTGAGGTCATGTTCTAGTTATGTTTAGGTTATGTTCATGTTATCCTTCAGTTATGTTCAGGTTATGTATACTAGCTCAGGTTATGATCAGGATCTAGTTATGTTCAGTTTATGTTCAGGTTAGCTGAAGTTATGTTTAGGTTATGTTTTGGCCATGTTCAGTTTATGCATATGTTTGGGTTATATTCAGATTATGTTAAGATTTATGTTCTGGTTTTGTTGAGGTTATATTCAGGTTATGATCTAGTTATGTTCAGGATCCAGTTATGTTTTGGTCATGTTAGGGTTATGTTCATGTTAGCTGAAGTTATATTCAGGTTATGTTCTAGTTATGTTTAGGTTATATTCAGGTTATGTTCAGGTCAGTCTTCATTGTAGGAACTGTAGTAATTTGATCATTTCATATGCTCAGATGTTTACCTGAAATCTGTGCACGTGTTCTGAACTGTGTTTCTGGTTAATCATAACCCGGCTCCTCATTGCAGATGTTGTGATGTTACTTGTGTAAGTTCACACACTGCGATATTAAAGCTGAAACGCCGTATTGTGCTGCCCTAGGAAGGGTCACTGCGACACTTCTCCCCTGATAAATCACATCCAGAAGTGTTTATTTATCATCCTGACAGCGATTCAGCTGGAGAAACTCATATCTGGCTGCAACAGACAGAATCAGGTCACAAAGACCCGGAATACACAGATCAATAGCAGAAACACAACACCTCCACAACACACACACACACACACACTCAGGCCTGTAGACAACACACTCATATACACTGATGGAGGTAAATACAGCAATACACACACACACATACACACACACACAGACAGACAGCAGTGTGGTGAATGGTAATGAACACACACATACACACACACACACACACTCATATACAGAAGTGTGCATTGCCTTCAGTGTGCCGCTGGTGTGACCGCAGATGCAGACGCTCCGCATCCACAAACATCAGGACAGGTGGAGCTCCTGAAGTCAACATGTTTTCCTGATACACACCAGTGATTGATCATGTCTGAATCAACATCTGATCTGAACCTGAAA